GTAAGAACATGCGGACAGATTGGCAAACCGTTGACTCTGTGAGAAGCAACCGTACGGCGTCTGCTAACGACTTAGTATGGAACACAAATGAACCAAATGGTTATATTTATGGCGAGCAGTGCACAATAGGAAGAAACGGATTTTTGGGCGATCTCAAATGCCATCAGAGTGGAAGAGCTAGAGCCATTTGCCAACAATACGCAGGCATGGAGACGGTGGGCAACAACATCTACGCTTCATCTACTCCGAATACGCACACGTTTATACGCAATCTTCCCAATGAAGTGCTTGATATATTTGGTCAATTTTCGAACGGTTGTTTTGAGAAGACCAATAATTTCAAGGGTACTCTCATCGCATGTGCGGCCAGGTGAGATTCACACCTTTGTCTTTTTGTGCCATTCTTCCCATTGCTGAATTAATGTACAAAAGTTTAATCGACTAATTTCGACTGGGTAATCATTTTTATCAAACCAAGGCTAGGAAATGATGCTTAAAAGCTGATCAATCTTGCTCTTCGTCGTCATGAGACAAAGTTGAGTTGAGTGTGTGTAAATTACTTCAAGGCAAAATAGTGACTTGTTGATGCGTCTTATTGGTGATGTGGTGGTGTGGAATAGAGTTTCTTAGGTATTCCGAACAAAAGATATTTTAAAGTTGGTTCGACCCTGTTTTCTCAACTTGTTCAAAGTGTCAGAGAGACCTTGATGAACGTATCTAGTCCTGTGTGATCTTCCATCGTATCGGACCATTGACTTGGTACATTCCCAAACATTTCGCCGGCGTCATAGTCGGCATCATTGTAAGCAGAGAATTACAACTTATTAAAGGGACAAGTGAAGGTAATCCCCTTGACCAATTTTCTGTTCAACCATTGTGGCATCACTCCGCGCCTCTAATTTTTGCTCTGACTTCTAGTGCCGTAACTCTTCCTCCCAGCCCCACTTCATTTGGCCAATAATCTTATTCACAAAATGCTTTGTTCTCGTTTCTTCAAATTTTCGCCAAAGTGTGAGTCACTACAAGTGGGTTTATGGAATAGGGATAATCCTTTAGGGGATAAAACCAATTTTTGAAAATTATATATGTATATGTATATACAGTTTGTAAAAAAAACGCACAAGCCTTTTTTTCGTTAAAATGACAAAAATTAAAACAAGTCGATATTATATATAAGATAGCTGTATTTTTCAAATTATTTTACATATCTGCTCTTTAAAATAACTTTAATT